ACTCATATCTATAGAACTCGAGTGAATGCAGGTAGGTCATTTAGCATATGATAATTCTCTATAAGTGTTCATAATTTTAAAGGAACACTAGTCACTTTCTCACATAATGACATAATCTTTAGCCACAACATATGATGTTGTAGATTTTAAATTAATTTTGAGAGTGGCCTACATTTCTACTCACAAGCTATTAAGATGCAATGCAATTAAAAGATGAGTTTTATGTAAAAAAAAAAAAAAAGCATATCAGTCAACTTAAACGAACTCTTGTTCCCAATGATGACATATTATCCTCTAATTAAATCAGCTAAGATAACTCTGTTTGCAAAGATCACTCTAAAATTAATTCCCAAATCAAGAGTTTAACAAGTAGCACTCCTAATAGGCCGGATTTTAGATTGCTTTGATACCTGGAATTAATGTAATTCTTTTAGAAATCTAGTGACCTGCCAAATCATAAAAAAAAAAGAAAAAGAAAAACATTTGAAGTTCAGCTAATTCCATTTATAAATCACACTGTTCATCCAAAGGACTTTAAAGACATCAGCTAACTAAACAGAGGGCAAAGACCTCGGATTCTTTGAAGCAGGCAGATAAATGGAACTTAAATAATTTATTCCAAAGTAGGACATTTAATATGGCAATAAAAGAGGAATAGTTTTCCCATTTATGTTAATCTAGTATCTACATGCAAATAAAAAAAATGTGTTAATGGCAAATGTTTTAAATAAGTTGGTTTTCTGGGGGAGCAGAGGACAGGATGTGTTTCCAAAGAAAGGCAAGACCGATCTGACAAAGGTCAGGCATGTGTGATGTGTAGGGTGTGTGTGTGTGCGTGTGTGTGTGTGTGTGTGTGTGTGTATCTTTGAAGCCAATAGAGGACTAAAAAAAAAAAATGTTAGTACATCAGCAGAGAATAAAAGAATGTCTTTTTTTCTTTTTTTTTTTTTTTACTGTAGACCTTGAGATAAACAGCTGATAAACTGACATCAAAGAGATGTGAGAACAGTTTAATGCTATCTTAACATCTAGCTGCAACCCAACTCTCAAAATGCATGAGACTGAAAGCAGGAAAAATAAATATTGAAAATAGAGATTATTGTAATTTTTGTCTTAATCTGTAGAGATTAACTGCCTTCCTCTTCTTACCTCCATTGATAACTTCGTATCGTAAGTTTTGTTAGACCAATATTACAGTAGGTCCACAACAAACCAACACATGCACTTTAGTTTCTATGTTTTACATAGCCATAGCAATACAATAAAATGATTAGGATAAAATAAATAAATAAAGGTATTGTGTCTACATAAATATTTTTTTAAATGATTAGGAAAATGCACAAATATATTTTAGTGGTGGGGATGTGGCCAATTCTTGAGAAGATAAAAACAAATTCAAAGTGACTCTGAGACATTATAGATATTACAAGGATGCATAGGGTGATTAATAAAGGAAGCTATATATGTATGAGGTGGAGTCAGAATACATTCTTAATGCATTTATTCAACAAATGCTAGAAGCTTAATACTGTAAGGCTCTGGGCCATGCTAGGTCTCTAGACTCTGGCATCAACCTGCCTCAGCTTTCTGTCTAGCCTGGTCATCCTTGTCAAGTTAATTAGTTAAGTCTTTTCTGCTCCCATCTTTTCACCCATAAAATAGGGCTCATGTTAGCATATACTAAATCATTAGAAATATTCATTAAGGTAATGCTTTTAAGGTGATGCCTCCACAAAGGTGATGGGCACAGTTTCTCAATGAGAGATTTAAATGAAGCTACATGCCATGGAAACATGATCACATAAGTCACTGTTAACTACACAGTATGAAAACTGACGACCCCAACAGTGGCAGAGTAAAACAACAGGCTCTGCTGTCAGTTGTGGAGTTTCTTGAGTAGCCACCATGATGAGTTGGACTGGAAAATGGGATAACACAGGATTACTTGATGCATGAGGAAAGACTGTAATCTGTCATGCTGAGGATCTACTGCTCACTATCCTCCCAGAAGCTAGGACATGAGAAAATAAATGAGCATTAAACACCATGAAGGCTTTTGGCTAGATGTGTGAAATTACTTCTACACCACAAGAATTCTTTAGTTATGAGAATGGAGAGCTGAGAGGGCTCAGGAGTCCACTCTTCTTTGGAGGTCTTCAAACAAGGATGGATAGAGTCGATCTGATCTGCCTGTGACAGTTTAAAATCAGGGCTGAGTGAAGATTGATGATGCAAACTGCCCCTTCCCAAGCACTCTTGGAGAGGAGAACTTCATATATTATCTATCACAGTCCCTCATCTGATGGTCTGAAGAATTCTTCTCTATCCTAGAATAGAAAGCAATATTATTTACAACAGCAAGTTCTAAGTAAAACCTTAAGGTTATCGATAATGCCCTCATTATAGATCAGATATTTCCCTAAGCAAGGTACCTGCAAACATCTTCAGCCAGAAACAGTTCTTCTCATGAATGGGAAGTCTAAAGAGTTTGTTTTTAAATGCAGATTTCCTGGGGTACCACCAATGGTACATGCCAATTCTCAAGCAAACCACTGGATGTCTAAACAAGGCAAAGGATGAAAACCATCATAGAAACCCTCACCAATTCTAGATAATCAAGTGTAAATATTATCAAGAACTAGAGCAGAGTGAAATTATTATTATTCATTTAACAACTGATCATATTTCCTTACTGGTTATTCCAAAAGCAATAGCAAACCTAATTTGCTTTAGCATTAAGTTTACTTTGAAAAAAAAAAAAAAGAAAAAAATCACAATTATCTTTCAATTAATTATTTTCCTATCAGATGTGCCTCTTACACCCTGGTAATCAGGACCTTGATTATGTTCATCAGCATCAGTGTGCCCTTTGTCCTGGAAAGTGAGTCTAAGAGCGAACACATTTTAGGAATCCATAGCTGATAGGCAGAACTTAATTGTAAAGAAGCAGGGAGGAGAAAAAAATACACAACAAAAGCCCTCTGCTGTTAAAATACTACTAAAAGATTTATATAAACCACTGGGAATGCTCTCCAAAAAAGTAAATGTTGCCTACAGAAATCATTTATACTGAAAGTCTTCACTTTGCTCTTAAGGAGATTTTCTGTAGTGCTGAGGATGAACTATGGTCTCCTGAGAGTCTCATATCCACCAACGAATACCGAAGCAATTTTAAAATACTTAACTATTTTCTTCTTTGAGATATCTAAAATCATGTTGGGAAATATCTGTGTTTGAAAGATATAATTTGAAAAAAAAAAAAAGGATAAGAGGAGAAAAAGTTTCTAAAGCGTCCATATTAGAAACCTTTTAAAAGTTGAATTCCCTGAGATTAGGGAAGGGGGGTAAAAGCAAAGCTGATTCTTATCAATTAATTAAAAAGAATGAAATAATAGACAAAGAGGAAGGAGAGTTAAGAAACTTAAGGAGTTGTAAGGGCAGTTGCTCTCTATTCATTGATTAACAAATTAAGGAGTTCTGGAAAAGGGAGACATGAAGTGACAGGGATGGAAAAGTAGTCTTATAATTCACCCCAGGTTCCGCCTGGAGAGGGAATGTCTGGCTGAGAAGTGGAAAAGGCTCCCTCTATACAAGGCGCCACGCTATATGATATATGCGTGGTTTTTTTTTTTTTTTTGGTAATGCCCAAATTTATGTAAATGTGTTAATTTCAGTGTGAGTAAAGCCCTTCACTCCTAGAGTTTGGAGATCGCTCACAATAAAACAGCAATTCCACAACGTAATGAAACTGTGCTGCTTTTAAGAGAACTGCAACACGCTTTTCATCCATCCACCAGTTCTTTGGCAAAATGCAGAGAGCAGCTGCAGGAAATCCAGCGTTTTGCTGGGCGATCTGAGGTCATTAAGGACTTCATCTACCCGGTTTGAGCAGCCCGCGCCCTCACAGCATCTCCAGGTTTCCTTTAGCCTCTCTCAGTTCGCTGCTCTCGCAGCCAAAGGATTATCTCTCGCCGACACGTTTCATTCACAGAGCCCCAGAAAGGCTGGGATTCGGTTGGAGCTAAGAGCTGGAAAACAGGCACCCAGCCTGCTGCGCAAGTTGTTGGAGACCAAGTGCTACACTCTCAGGCGCCCAGAAAGAGGGTGGGGGCTCTTGAGCTCTCGACCCAGGAATGCTAGTGGGGGAGCATGCGGGGGACGCGGAGTCCGCAGACCCAGAGCCCAGTCCCCAGCTGAGACACCCGCGCAAGTTGGCTAAGCTTCCGAGAGCCGGCAGGCTGGCGAGGCCGTGCTCAGGACCTGGCGCCGCGCAGGGTGGCTGGGGTGTCTACCCAACACGAGTGACCAACCGCAATCGGGGAAGCACGGAGGAACCGTAACGGGAAAGCCCGCCCCAAATCTGAAATAGGCAGTCCACGAAGTCCCCCAGCCAGCCCTGAAACGCCGCCGTCCGGAGGCCTGGGCTCCGGCGGGTGTCCCCTAAGTTTAGCCCGCCCCCAGCACGAGCAACGAGCGCTCGCTCAGCTCCCTGCACCACCCCGAGAGTAGAGAGAGAGGGGCTAGGGAGCCCTCCGCGTCTCCCCGCCGCCCCCGCCGGCGCGAAGGCGGGAGTGGAGAAGGCGCCACTCAGACTGTGGCGCTGGGCAAACTGCGGTCGCAGTTCTTCCAAGTTTGCCCAAGCGAAAGGCGCAGGGTGGGTGCCCCGCTCGGCGATCTGCTCTCGGCCCGTGGTCGTCCCCGAGTGTCCCCGGTTCCTCGGCCCGCCTGGCCCGCTCTAACAACGGAGGTGGCCGGGCGCGAGAGCAGAGGGAGGGCGGGAGGGAAAGAGGGTGCTCCCGCGTGTGCACACAATGAGGCAGCGGAGACGCACACCTTCCCCCGCGAGAGAAGCCGCGGGAGCATCGGCCGCCCGGCGGGGAGACGCAGTGCCCCGAGGATTCCTGACAGAAAGTGAACACACCAACTCAGCAACAGGGGAAAGGAAGAGGGCGTGCAGCCGCCCAGGCTGCAGCCTGCCCCGGCCGCGCGCCCGCGCTTACCTGCGATCTCCTGGTAGGGGATGTCCGCCAGGCTGAATCCCTTGGCACCGTACGCCTGCCGGACCTCGCCGCAGCTCCGAGCTTTCACATCCGCCCGGGCCGGGAGGGACAGCAACAGCCCCGAAAGGGGAAGAATCACAGCCCCGATCCAAGAAGGCATGGTGCAACATGCAAATCCAGCTCGGTAAACCCCAGGGCCCGTGCGCTCTTCACCTTGCCCCTCAAGCCGAAAGCCCGCCAGAGCCAGCGGCGCGCTCCTTGCCGCTGCCCAGAGTCACCCCCTTCCGCCAGCCGAGGGGACCAGCAGCGCAGCCCTCTGGACTGCACTCAGCAAACTTTTATAAGCCCGATGGAGGATGGAAAGCCAACCAGGGCTGGTTGGGGAAGCAGCCGCCTTGCTTCGCTATCCCCTCAAATCGAAAACGATGCAATAAAAAAATGAAGAAGAGGGGAAGGAAAAAATGTTTAAAAAATGACCATGGGGGTTCAGAGCTGCGATCCGAGTCCCGAGCCGCAGAATCCTAGAGCGCTGCGAGCTCTGCTGGCTAGAGTGCGCCGCGAAGGTGGGAACGCGCGCCGGCTCTCCCGGGAGGGAGGTGGACAGGCGAGCGCGAGTGTGTGCGCGCGTGTATATGTTGGTGTGAGCGCGGGGTTCTTGGGGCTGTGTGCGTGGAGGTATGTGTTGGGGGTATACGGGATCCGGAGGAAACCTCAGCTTCACACAGACTGAGGGAGCCTGTGAGAGTCCTTCTGAAATAGGAAGAGAGAAATCCTGGAGGCAGACACGAGAGGCAAGAGGGAAGGAGAATGGAGAGGAGAGAGAGAGAGAAACGTGCTACACATTGCACAGCCGAAATTCAGAGGCAGTGTCGACAGCAAAACCTGGAGTGGATCGTTTTCTACTCGGTAGGAGGGGAAAAAAATTAAAAAAGGAAACGTCCCTATTTTCTTATTTATTTCACATCCGTCATAACGATCCGACATGCTGCCTTCAATGGCATAAATAAGAAATCCAGAAGGACAAAGTTTTTTTTTTAAAGTCTTTAACTTATGCTATTAAACTGCATTTTTGTGGAAATAAAGGACATTGGAATTCCAATTGTTGCTCTTGTCCTAGTGAAACACAAAGCCAGGGCAGAAATGCAGAAATATATAGAGGAGTCCCTGAGTAGCAGAGCACAACCGCCCCTTGATATAGATGTATAATTTCTGTTTGGTTTTACTGTGTTTTGCTTTCAAAAAAAAAAAAACAAAAAACTAGTAGTTTGTGCACCTATTAGAGACCAGTAGTCCTTTCTTTTAAAATTTTTGGTTCTGAATTCAACAAATTACTTTCTCATTTCAAATATTAAATACTGTTGGATCAAAAATACTACCGGTGTGTGGAAGAACTAGGCAGCGAAGAGGAACAGAGTACAGAAGCAAAGAAAAAGGAGAGAACAAGGGTCAGGTACAGAAGGATACTGAAAGGGGACCATGTCTTCCCTCTCATCAGATACCATCACATCCCAGACTTAGCTCATTTTCTTCCAAGTTAACAGAATTCTCAAGTGGAAAATCAATACACTTTCCCTTTTACACCGAAGTTCTGTGAAATGGGATAAAAGTGAAGATTCTGGTTTGCTTAATTTCCATTGACTTTCTCATGCTAATGAGCACATTGATGTCTAGAGGTGTTGAAATCTGGAGCACCAGTCTCTACAGAGTGGTGTAATTAAATCCAAGCCAAAGGTGGGGGTTGGAGGGGGGGTGAAAATACTTGTTCACTGTGAGGCCATGAGTATATTAGGTCAGCACTCTGCAGAAGTTACTAATTTGTGAAGCAAAATACCTAATTTGTGAAGTTCACTTACAAAGCTAAACAAAGATATCTTTCTGGTGATGCTGTTAATGACCAGAATTACCCACGAAATTTATTTTGTCCTCCTCATCACCAGCATCTTCATCTTCATTCCAACACATTAGGTACTTCTTTTTCTTCTCTTTACTAATAAACTGCTTCTCTCTTAACCCACTGGAAAGATTCAAGTTTATGATCAAGGATCATTGAAACTTTGGGAATGCATTAAAAACAAGCTTGTTATTTACAGGAGGACTTTATCTTCTTCAAACTCCATAGCTAAAAACAAAACAAAACTCCTCAGCAGATGACTTCTTTCTGAAAACAATTTTTATTTTTTCTCTTTAAGTTTTAGCACAATTTTTGTCTTCATATTTGTGCTAACTGGCAGATCTTAAAATTATAACCTGTTTCCCTCCAAGTCTGAAATTAAAATAATAAAATATACTCTAGAATCTTTGTTAGCAAGGAATGAAGGTTGACAGGAGCAGAAAATGAAGTCATTACTTCTGTGATATCTGATAACATGATCTCCTTTGCACTTTTGTTTCTATTACAGGTGATAGTCATTGTGAACTCTAGAGGAAGAGCATGAATGCACACATACCTTACCCTATTAGCTCACCTGGGATTCATTGTAAATTACTGTGAATTAACATTGGATAGCAGGTAGTCTCTTGTGAAGGATATTTGAGGGGCTGGGGTTGTAGCTCAGTGGTAGAGCGATTGCCTTGAATGTGAGGCACTGGGTTCAATCCTCAGCATCACGTAAAAAATAAGTAAATAAAATAAAAATATTGTGTCCATCTACAATTAAAATATATATTTTTAAAATATATTTGAGGTGGAGGGAAATGTGTAAAAACAGAACGTGTGGCTTTAAACTTTTTGAAGATCAACTTAATTCTTAAGTTTGATGAACTTAAAAGTATTCGATGCCACTAAACAGCACTAGCCTCTTGTACAGTCACTCCTAAAATGGCCCTAGGCTCTACAGGAAGGCTAGTACATGGAAAGAGTTACTAGCTTAATCAAGCATAAATAGATTAGCTTAATCCCCAAGCGAAGTTCAAACAGTTTCGAGTAGGTTTGTGACCTTTAGTCAAACCAAAGAATTCAGCAACTTGCTTGGTACAGTTATAAATTAATGTAGCACTGTTTGAAGTGGTGTAAAAGAGAAAATAAATAGAAGCAAGAGAAAGGTAAGTTGAGGAGACACCCAGAACTCTGCTACCATGGTAAAGGTTTTTGGTGATGGAGACTTAAAAGAGGATGGAAAATGGAAATGAAGTTAAATTTTGAGCAAAGGATGAGAATGATATGGTGTTTGGTTCGTTACACAAGAAAACTCACTAAAAATGTATTTTAAGATTTTGTTTCTTTGGGGAAATGTGGCATATTTTATAAGTAAGACTTCTGTTTATGCAGCACTTTCACATCCCAACTGGTTTTCCTAACAACCTTTCTTGGGCACAAGATGAATGCAACCTTAAAGATTTGAGTTGTAGAGAAGAAAAGACTTAGTCTTGAGCAACTATAATTGACATTAGAGCAAACCCTGTCAATCATCTACTCCACAGCCATTGTGCCTTCTTCTTACTGCCCTAAGACAGATTGTGTTTGGGGGGCATTGTGCCCACCACCAAGCAATAAGTCACAATTGGTTTAAGTCAATGTTGGTAATCCTTTTCTTTTTCTATTAGATAGTATAGGGGTAGAATAAGAACCATTTCTCATTAATGTGATTTAAGGAAAAGATTGAAAAAGCAGAAGGGTCTTTTGCCTCAACCTCCTGCCTCCTTAGGGCTGGATGGCCATATTGTGAACAAGAAACAAAACTTTGCCAACAGAGAGTCAATGGCAGAACTGGGAGGCTAAAAAGAACTAGATCCTTCAGTTCCTATTTCAGTCACCAACCAGTCCTGGACTTCTTACTAAATAATCAATAAATATCCTGTAAGTTTGTGCCACTGTCATTTGGCTATCCTACTGTTTGCAAGTGAAAGCAATACAAGCATATATCCCAGACTAAAGAAAGAAAAAGAGAAATTGCAGGTAGGTGACAGGGATTGATTGCAAATGTAAGAAGAGGACAAAAACTAGGTAGCATTAGAGAATCCCAGTTAGGAGATTTTCGAACATGAAGCAAATTGCAGTGATCGTCACAGACAAAATGATGGAGAAAATGGTACTTGGGTGATGATAAAGAGCCTTACTGGAAATTTTGGGGGAAACAGTTTAGTGGAGTAATTGGGTAGGTGCCAGACCACATGGAATATTATGTGAAATGAGTAGAAAGACTGTGGAAATGTTGGGTACAATTGTTGGCAGTGTGGTAACTTGCAGGAGGGATAAGCTTGGGCATCAGGCATGTCTTCTTCAAGAACCTTCCAAGATTTCAGGGAAGACAGACAAGATATCAAAAAGAGGTCAAACTGGCACAGAGATGCATGCCCGTAATCACAGCAGCTCCAGAGGCTGAGGCAGGAGGATCCCAAATTCAAAGCCAGCCTCAGAAACTTAGTGAGGACTTAAGCAAATTAGTGAGACCCTGTCTCAAAAAAGGGTTGGGAATGTGTCTCAGAGGTTAACCACCCTGGGTTCAATCCCTGGTATCCCAGGACCATCCCCCCAAAACAAACAAAAACAATAATAATGATAAAAAAGCAAAAATCCAATACGAGCTCACTTAGGTTAATTTTTTGTATTTTTCTCTTTCTTGTCTGCATTTTCCATGTTTTCTACAGGAAATGTAAGTTTTTCTATGATGAGAAAAACTATTGTTTTGAAATGAATGTCACAGTTTTAACAAAAGTATAAATATAGTATTTATGTCATATTTTCCAATGCAAAAAAGTTCTTGTCATCATCTTCTACATGATAGCTCTTAATATTTTTCTAAATAAAATAATAACTTTGGGGTATGAAATGGTTTTTCATTAATTTTTTAAAAAGCCACGAGTTTAGAAAAAAATGGAAATAAGACACAATAACAGAATACTTTTGCCTTGTCATACTAACTCGTGAATGAGAAAACTGGGTGAATTTTAGTTTTTACTTTGTGTTTTTAGATGAAAGTAGAACAAATAAGTACAAATAGAATCTTATGAAAACAAGAGAATGGACTTCAAGTGTCTATTCCACATCTCAGCTTGGCACAAATCAAAATTGCTTAGTTAACCTGCCTCTTGAAAAACAGAACCTGTAATGAAAAAGCTGTCAGAAATCTAACAACAGTAGCTCTGCCAGGTGCCTGGATAATGGGAAGGTTGCTGAGTTACAGAGAAAGAAAAGGTAAACTTGGGTGAATAATGACCAGAAATGGTAAAAACAATATTTCATTTTCTTTTTTACGGATTATGCCCAACCAAGTCCTAATAGCTCATTCAACACTTGTTTGAGTCTTTAGAGTATAGCTAGTGCTGATATAAAACAATAAAAATTATATCTTTAGGGCAGTTGAGAACCAATGGTACTGCTTGGGGAAAAGCCAATCAAGGAGGGACAACTGATTTCTTCTTACAGTATTCCTTTAAGACTGTGAGCACGGAACTGTTCAGCTGCAAAGAAGGGAATCCTCTGATCTGCCTAATCTGATTTTTGCTTAATAGTTGTGATAGGGTTTAGCCAAGAGAACTGAAAGAAAGTATATCATGTATTCATAAGCATTACTCATATTTTCTTGAAATACTACCACCAGTCATCAAGAAGGTATAAACAGAAAATATGTTAAAGCATTACAATGATTTAAAATGGTATTTTCAATTTTTCATATTTATTAACCATCCATTGATTCTAAGTGATTTCCATGCCTAGAAATGCATCTTAGGTTATAAAATACATTTAAATATTAAGTAACAAAATATTTACTTTCAAAAGCTGGTGTTAAGTGTACGCATTGGAACAATCTTGCAAATGTAATACTTGCTAAGCATTACTTTGTACCATCATTATTAGAAAAGCTTATTGTATAGCAGGAAGAGTTTCATTTTTTAAAAAAAAAAAAAAAAGAAAG